TGGGGCTGTCACAAGCAGTAGCCACAGAATTGCCATCCATTCATAGCATGAAGTAGACAGTCAGGCGCCAGAAAGTCGAATTGCGCGCCTAACTACCAAGTCAAACCAGTCTCAGCAGTTTAGTACTGTCAGAAGAGTACAGGCAGACGTTTGGTTACTAAGATTTCTCCTGTTACACGACAGAGGACCATCTGTTAACCTTTTTCCAGTAGCAATAATTAGCGACTATTGTCGCAATCATCCAAACGGTATGTCGATGGAACGTTTTAAATCAGTTCCTTAATTGTTTCAGCAACTGTAGAAAGATCCACTGGATACAGTGCTCCAAGGTCATAATATCGGTATGTACCTTGCGGTACAAAAAGGAGGCTAGTTATTTGTGAATGATGGATGCCTTTAATCGTCTGGAACCAAGTTTGGCATTTCAGTCGCTACTGACTGATTTCAAGCATGCGGTCATTAATACTTTTCAAAGTAGCTTTCCAAATGTTCTGCATCGCGGGTGATTTTTTTACTTTGGCCAAAGCAAATATCGAAACATTCAGGGACACTCAATCGATGCTACGTTCGCCTTCAAATCCGAATGCTCACTGCATATCCATCATACCAGTGTAACATGTACAGCGAATATATGAGGTCGTTTCATGAATTACCCGATTGAAGCGTAAGCGTTAAGATAGATAGATACTTCGAAGATACTTAAATTTGCCGTCCAGATTGATGCTAGGCACGATATATATATCTGACACTTATGGTATTGCCGTCATCGTACATCATATCGTCGCCCGGGGTACAAACGGCACCTTAGGCTGTTGGAGGACTGAGACAGGTTGCGAAAATTCGACGACCTCAACCGGCTGGTAGTCAGAGGCGTCGAAGTACGGCGATTGCAGCCGAACATTTACAAAACGTCGACGAAAATACCAACAAGCAAAGGAGCTGCTACCCGTTATGAATGGAGAAGGCAGACTGGGCGATGCTATAGTGGCACTTTAAAAAGGCTCCACGGGAACGATAACTCAAGTGGAACCTTACAGTCGGAAATTGAAATATATCCTCACTCATAGAGAAAGAGCAGGAGTTAGTTGATGAGCTCCAAAGGTACCAACTCGACGTTGTTTGACTCTCGTCAACGAAGCGCCAGGACTTTGGAATCTCGTACCACCGGCGTAGAAGCTACTTTATTCAGGTGTCAAAATCACGATCAGCGCTCAGGCAGATGTTGAGGTTCTAATAGAATCCAACCTGGATCATAGAATCAT